TTAGTTTATTTACCATCATCTTTGTAATCCTGAATTCCCACGCTCATATAGGCAAAAGCTTATCCGATCTCTGGCTAATGGCAGTCGATTGCGCATAGTCAAAATATTTGACAATCCTAACCGGCAGAGGCTTGACTTTATCGTGAAGATGATTTAGTGCTGCTATTGCTTGCTTTTATTATATCAACAGTAATGTAGTCTTATTGAATTAATCATTTTAGAAGAACAACTGCAAATCCGATACTTTTTATTTTTATTCTTCAGATCCAAACTGGCTTATTCATACCTGGTCTACCATTACCCACCTCTTCAAATGTTATCTTGCCTCCCCAGACTTTTGTTTCCTGTGCCACCTCACATAATTCAGACCAGAAGCACTCCCGTCTGACAATTTCAACTTCTTCCACCTCTTCTTCTGCAGCATCAGTTCCCAACGATGTAGCATCCTCAATCGCTATTCTCGAGACTGGAGGAACAGTGGCTACATCACGGACAGGACCTAGTTTACCAATTCACTCAATCGGTGGCTCTATTATGTCTACTGCTGCATCTAACTCAGTTTCTATGCCTTCTGACATGCAGATTACGAATCACCGTTTGACCCTTTATCCTTGGTTTCATGGTGCTGTATCCCGGCAAGCAGGCGAAGCCCTATTACGCAGTGGCATCACTGGGTCCTATCTAGTTCGCGCATCCGAATCGGCGCCAGGTCAGCTCTCAGTCACTGTACGCCACCTTGGTCGTGTCTACCATTATCGAATTTCTCAGGATTCACGGGGACTGGTAAGTCGTTCATAGTTGTGTGTAGAGCAAACAATGACTTACTTTTATCAAGATTAATAATTAACTTGGGTGAAATATTAGGCATAAAAGGCTTGAAGAAAAAATTACCAATTAATCATTTCCTTCGCTGCAAATGATCAGGTCAATGTCTGGAAAACCCATGAATTCAGGCACATCGACCAATTTATCTTTTCCATTAGTTGCCTTTGAAAAATTCTTCGAATACAAGATGTATCTTTTCTTTAAGTCTATTTAAGATTTCGTCACATTCTTCGGTTTAAAAAAATAGGACTTAAGGGTTGCGAAATAGACAATTTAAATCCTTGATAATAAAAGACCCTATCTCTGTATAGCCATTTGTAATTATTGCATTAAAAGACATACAAACCTTTCTTAGCTTGAAGTTTATTGTAATTATCTCCAATTATTGAGTAAGATTGAAATTTTCCAGTCAAGTGACTATAACTAAGGTCAGTTTATGGTTAAAAAATGGTTTTAAGAAGCATCATTGGTATTTCAGAGATAAATGCGGAATTGGCTTGTTTTCTTGTTGGAATTTCACTATTAAGTATAATACGAAAATCGAAAATATTAAGACCAAGATGATGTGGCCCTTTGTATGGTCGCAGTCTACTTTTGATTTATATAAGTAGTTTGACCTCGTTTTCGCAACTTGATCTTGTTGTCAAGGCGACTTAGTTGAGAGCACTGTCCGAAGTCCTCTGCCATAGTAGTTATGATTCTCAGCATCGGACCATGGATTTGTTAAATTCTCAGACGCCTCGCCGGCATTGTCAGTGAGTCTTGCCATTCTCAGCACCAAGCTACAATTCGTCAAAGACACAAGTTAAGTCGATCTCTTAATAAGTGTTTTGCTCAAACGGTTGTACTATCACTCGTTTTTCTGTCCTTGCCCATCTATTTACTACTTATTCTCTTGTCCCACTCCCGTCTTATCACACATTCTGACTTGTTTACATTTCATTCGTTAAAAGGTGTGCCCTTATTGGCAAGTTTAGTGTGGCATCATCACACCTGCCATTCACTCTGGCCCCTTGTCTCTCGGTTGGCTAATCCGACTCGGGCTCTGATTTCCATGCTTGAAGATATCAGACATCGCCTTCACGGCTCGTATCATTGACTAAACCCGTTTTACCTGAGCAAACTAGGGACGCCGATCTCTGGTCGTATGTGGCATCTTAAATGGATTTCTAGTACATTTTGGTCATAATGTTGAATTTCTGTGACGGCCTTGCTTATCCGTCTCTAGTTCCTTGACCGCCATGCCCCAAAAGTCGTACTGGTTTCTTCGAACAGACTTTGCTCACTGAGTTCTACTTCGCTTAATTTCATAAATTTCCCCTCCCTCTTCCTCGCAATCTCTTTTTCTCTGGTTGACGATAGGTCCTTAATCCAGGTGTCTCCTTTTTCCTAGTCTTGCTGCATTCCTGTTGCCCAGAGTTTGCTTAAGCAGTAGATAAAGTTATCGTTAACTTTGCCTTCCTCCTATCTCCCAAGGTCGTCAATGGTTTCCCTATTCTTCCGCTTTCTTGTATTTTCACCGTAAGTATTCACATTCCTGCATATCCTTTGATGTTCCTTGATTTGTGTGATAATTTTTCTCCCGATTTCACCAATATATATCTGTTCGCAGGCGCCGCATGCAACGCAGTAAACTCCTAAACAGTCCAATTTGTCCACCCATTCATGTTGCGTTGGAGACATGTGAAGTGTTGTTTGCTCATTAATGGCCACTCGAATATACCATTTCCTTAGTATCAGCCGTAGTTTTGAGTGGGTTTGCAGGAAGCTAGGCATTTCCACTTTTGTGAATCCTCCGTCTTTTGTGTTCCTTCGTAATCCCCGTTCTGCCATCCGCTTTTCATAGCCCATATGTTTCTTTGTATTACTTCGCTTGGGTAGCCGTTGCCTTGGAATATCCTAGTCAATTTATCCAATTTCTCATCCCAGAATTCCACATCTGTTAAAAATAGGCTTCGGATGCTCATGCTCCTCATTATTTCTATCTTTATCCTTTAATTGTAATGAGACTGTAAAGTGAGTATTATCCCGTCATATGACTTCTTTCTGAACAATTCCTTCTTGAGCGTCCCATTAAACCGAATCATTTCAGCATCCAGAAAAGGTAACCACTCATTTTCCTTCCCCTACTTTTATCGTGAATTTAATTTTTTTTATCAATGTCGTTTAAAAACTTCGGAAATTCTTCCCTTTTTTCTCTTCCATTTGACCAAAGTGCGAAGTAATCGTTCAAGTGCCGCATCTTGAAGTTCTCTTCTAATTTGTTTAGGATTGTGTTTACTAAAAGTGGTGAGAGCGGCGATCCAATGGGTAGTCCAAATATTTGTTCATAGATGGACCCGCTGAATGTAAAATAGATTGTCCTTATTGCCATGTTAATTAATCGTGTCATCAACTCCCTCCTGATCCTTTCTGATTCCAGGATATTCTTCTCTCGGTACAGGATTTCCAACAGGGTAGAATACATGAATTGTACATCAAAACATACCAATAAGTCTGTTTCTTCCAGTACCATGATTTTGATTTTTCGAGAAAGTTCATATGAATGCTTCTCAGTTTTTTTTTCAAACATCTGAACTTTGTCAATTTGTGCGTTGCTTCATACTTGTTGTTGACTATCAGCCTTAGTGTTTCTCCTTTTTGTATTTTCGGTAACCTGGCTGTTGGTCTTTGTATATTCTTTCTTATGATTGACTTTGTTGTATATGCGTCAATTTCCCCGTATCTATGCCTATCTTTTAGCATGTCACTTAACATTTCATTGATCTTCATAGTTGGATCCTTTAGTTTACGATATGTTTTCCTGTCTCGTAGAACATATTCCATCTTCTCATCGTCGCTCCTCCTTTATCCGTTTGAAGGACTAATTGTTCATTCGGTTCCAAGTTCTTGTGTTTACTGGAAAATTTGTTCCAGTGTGTTGGTCCGTGATGTGACAATATCTTTGGAATTAGTTCCGTCTCTGTTTCTCATTTTGTCTCCTCATGGCACTTTTCGGAAATATTGATAACCTCCACAAGGATGTCTACTGGAATGATTATGTGATTTTGAAGTTAAAAATCGAGTCCTTTCTTAAGGACCCTGGTGTTTTCGGGATCAAGACAAAATGCGATAAACTCACTACTCTCTTCTGATCGTCGTACTGATCAATAGGTATTGTCACCTCGGAAACTATTTCAACTAGGCGCATCGGCTTTAACTTAAGCAATTTATTGCTGTCATTATCTTAATAAGTCAGGGATCCTACGTTAATTCCTGTCGGTCATGCTCTGGAATTTTTGATAGTCTTCCGGAGTCATGATCCTGGCCATATCACGCCAGAGCTTTGACTTAATATCTTTGAATTTCATTCGTTTATTTATCTACGTATCACAAGCTTCACTTAACTCATGAATAGAGGCCTGATGGAGAAACTTATTGACCTTGTCCGAATAGTAGTGTCTTTTAAGGCCACATAAATTAGGAGTGATACCATAACGTTTACAACAGTTTTAAAAGGTCAGATGGCATTTGTCCGGCTGTATTCAGTTTAATTAAAGGTATGAAAACCGAAATGGTGTGGCTCTCGGATTGACCGCACATCATTGGGAGACCTTCATTTCGTACGAAGGTGTATGGATAAGAGCTTCGTAGGTTGATATCACCAGTAGAGGACGGTTGAATCCCATTATACTGCAGTAGTTTCGATTTAATACGCCGTTCAGGTTATTGCAGTCCACAAGGCATCCTTCATCGCTTCGGGTAAAAATGGGCTGAGCTTTCTTTCTTCATAGGATAGATATCATCAGAGCTGGAACTCATTCTTAAAAAGTCTCACGTTACCACTAGATTAAGAAGACTGGTGTGCTGGTGTGTATACTTGTATTTGTGTATGTGTGTGTTGACGTCTACAGGAAATACCGGTTCTAAATCAGAGTGATCGAAAAAGGTTTATGTCAGCCTCTGGCCATCAAGGCTTAATGACCCAAGAAAAATCCCTGACCGAGATTGCATAAATCCGTAAGCAAATATGGTTGAGATAATAAGATGTAAGCTTGTAAGCATGTAAGTCATCTCACGAAACCACCTGTCC